AATGGAAAGTGAGTTAGAGCTAGTCCACTATAGTCAGCCCATGGAAGAAAGGCAGCAGACTGTGGAGAGTAATAGGTGAAAAGGTCTGGGGAGGGAGCAGGTGCAAGTCAACAGCAAGGATAGAATTCAGGGCATCAGTAGATGGTGCTCTGTCATGTTCACTGCTATTTAAAGGTGCATGCTGTAAATCTGAGGTGCCGTCCAGAAGTTGCTAGGCTGTGACTCCCATGGCTAATGGCCACAGATGATCTGGCTTGTAGTCCAGCAAAGTCTGGGGGGGCACAGCATCAGGCACCCCTACTGTCAACCGTAGAATGCAGGTCAGTGGCTTTGTGCATATCATGCACGCACACACACATACACACACCATAAAGGGAAGTGAGATAGGGAATACGGAATTTGAGAAAGAGAGGATTAGAAATAATATATAATAATATAATAATTTATTATTTCTACCCCGCCCATCTGGCTGAGTTTCCCCAGCCACTCTGGGCGGCTTCCAATCAAGTGTTAAAAACAAAACAGCATTAAATATTAAAAACTTCCCTAAACAGGGCTGCCTTCAGATGTCTTTTAAAGATAGGATAGCTGCTTATTTTCTTCACATCTGAAGAGAGGGTGTTCCACAGGGCCACTACCGAGAAGGCCCTCTGTCTGGTTCCCTGTAACCTCACTTCTCGCAATAAGGGAACCGCCAGAAGGCCCTCGGTGCTGGATCTCATTGTCCGGGCTGAGCGATGGGGGTGGAGACACTCCTTCAGGTATACAGGACCGAGGCCATTTAGGGCTTTAAAGGTCAGCACCAACACTTTGAATTGTGCTCGGAAACGTACTGGGAGCCAATGCAGATCTCTCAGGACCGGTGTTATGTGGTCCCGGCGGCCACTCCCAGTCACCAGTCTAGCTGCTGCATTCTGGATTAATTGCAGTTTCCAGGTCACCTTCAAAGGTAGCCCCACGTAGAGCGAATAGCAGTAGTCCAAGCGGGAGATAACCAGAGCATGCACCACTCTGGTGAGACAGTCCGCAGGTAGGTAGGGTCTCAGCCTGGGTACCAGATGGAGCTGGTAGACAGCCGCCCTGGACACAGAATTAACCTGCACCTCCATGGACAGCTGTGAGTCCAAAATGACTCCCAGGCTGTGCACCTGGTCCTTCAGGGGCACAGTTACCCCAGTCAGGACCAGGGAGTCCTCCACACCCGCCCGCCCCCTGTCCCCCCAAAACAGTACTTCCGTCTTGTCAAGATTCAACCTCAATCTGTTAGCTGTCATCCATCCTCCAACCGCCTCCAGGCACTCACACTCAATGCTCTTCAAGAACATTCAATTATCTAAAACACAAACACACAACCCCCCCCCCCCAAAAAAAACCCACCAAGAAGGTATGAAGATGGTGTTAAATCAAGACAGGGGTGGGTGGGAGAAAACAAAGAACTGGCTCCTGTTGTTCTGCCATGAACAAAGGCAACATGATGGTACCGATAAAAGCTCAAAGAAAATTAAATACCAAGAACGATTGGGCTGAGCCAAGCAATAACACGCACAGGGGGATTCTGAGTTATGGCTGAAACTGTGGCTTTAATTAAGCCCAGTTGTAGCTGCATTGGGGATTGTTAAAAATCAACACAAAGGCTGCTAACATTTGTTTAGCAGTCTATGGAAAGTTTCCAGGTATTCCTCTTAAAAAGATATGAGCAAGAATTGAGCCATCACTGCAGTTGCCACCAGCACGGGTACTGTGGCAAATCCAGGGGGCCACACACTGCTCCCATGGTCAATAATTGCACGCATACTGTATACACACAACCCAAATTCCAATGTATCTTGTGGGAACAGTATCTGTCAGTCTAAGAATGCTTCATCACAGAGTGTTTTAGCCCCAAATGCTCTCTTTCAGTACCTTTAGATGCCTACACACCCCTGTTCCCCTCATCTACCTGTACAGAAAAAACCCACAGAGAATCTCAGACCATGTGCAGGAAGTTAATAAAGACACCATAAATGCACTCCATGCCTTCTCCTCAGCTGAACCTAATGCACAGTGCAGAGCTCATCATGTTCACATATGAAATGTGGTTAGTATACAATCTGAAAACTTCCAGCACCAACTGGGCTCCAACAGTGCATAGCACAACAACCCTACATTGTTGCACGACAGCACAAATACCTACTGTGTGGGGGAAGGAACTTTAGTTCCACCCTGCATTGGACACAACCTCTTGAAGGCCTCTCACAGATACCTGAGATCCAGGCTGCACATTGTGGAGCAATCAAAGTAGAGCTTGTAACTTGGAGGCCTGCTGTCTAGATCCATGCCCATCACCAGCATTGAAGGTTGCAAGGGTTACCTGGATGTCAGAAGTAAGTGGATGTCCTTGAGGGAGTGGGTGGTCTCTGAAGAAATCAGTGGGCAGTCCCTTGCTAATGAAAACAAGTCTAGATCCTACTGAACATATAACAACCACACAGTCTTTAATCTTCCCTATTAGGGAAAATATTAGAGAGGAAGGTCACCTCTCAGCTCCAGGTAATTTTGAAGGAAACCAATTATTTAGGATCTTTCCAGTCCACGCCACCCTTGTTTTTGGACAGAAACAGTCTCGGTTACGTGGATACATGAAGGAATGGGCAATGGAAGTTCAACCGTATTGGTCTTGCTGGACTTCTCAGTGGCTTTTGTTCTTGTTGAGCTTGGTATCCTTCTGGAATGACCAGAGAGGGCTGGTCTTAATATGTCTTGATGTTTCAGTGACTCCAGTCCTTTCTGGATGGCTGATTCCAGAAGGTAGTGCTGAACGAGTCTTGTTCATATCCATGGTCTTTGGTGTGTGAATGCTGCAGGGCTCCATTTTGTCTTCTGTGCTTTATAATATCTATATGAAAATGCTGGAAGAAATCTTTTTCCACCATCAAATCCCAGAGTGGCTGTGGAACCTTTGAACCGGTGTCTGGAGATAGCATTGGGGTAGATGAAGGTGGAACAGCTGAATCTTAATCAAGACAAGGCGGTGAGGGTGAACAAGCAAGAATTTGATTCAGACACGATGGCGGTATTGTGGGTTAGGAAGTTGGCAATTGTGGATGGAGTTATGTTGCCTGGTCTGGATGCACTGCACTCCTCTTGAAGAATTATGTGTGTGGCTTGCAGGTGCTCCTGAACCTGTCACTATCTTGGTATAGCTGCTGTGGAATTAACCATATTGGTTGACCCTGACTAGAGTTACCCAGGTCCTAGTTATCACCAAGCTGCTCAAGGAAACTCTTCCAAATGGATTATACTTGGTTCTTTCATTGCTTTCCTTAATGTGAGTTTGGCTGTGTGATTCTCAGCTGCTTTTGAATTCAGTTGGACTTACAAAACCAAGATGCTGCTTCCTGATAATTTATATTACTTGGTGTGTCGATGATATTCACGTGTACAGCTGTCACTTTGTGAGGGCATAACCCTGAAAGGTGGCCTATAACCCTGTTAAGTAAATAAAGGTCCAGAGGATTGCAAAACTCAGCTTTAAACTGCTGCTTAGCAACGTGCTTACAGGTTGGCCTGGTCAAGTCAACAGAAGCACTCAGTTCTCCATCTGTAAAATGGGAACAACATTAAGCTCCCTCTCAAGGGTTGACAGACATGATGACAATTGCAAAGCATTTTGGAGTACGGAAAATTGTGATTGGTTAAATAATAATAGCAATAACTGGACTAAAGGCATTATACAGCAATGGAGTGACATGTCAACAAACCACAATGCCTATCTACTTGAAAGACCTCTGGCTTATCCTCTACCTTTTTTACCAGGGATCAGAGAATCCAATCCATTCCACTCTGTGATTGTTGGAATGTCAACTTCATTATAGATCCTGATTGTTCAAGGGAGACAAATGGTTCCAGTGGCCTCTGGATTAGTGTCCTTAGAATAGTGCACCCCCAGTTGGGCGGAACTGCAGCAATAGCATCCCAGCAGACATATCACTGATGGAGGGAGAGGGTTGAGGTGACAGCAGGATTGGGGCTGTGCAAAGGGACTTGCAGGAGTGCTGGATTGACTCCACTCACACAGCCCTGACCTCACAATCACCTCATTGCTCCTGCCCTCAGTAAGCAGCAGAGCCACCACTGCCAGGAGGCTATTGCCGGCGGTTCTGCCCCACCAGGCAGGCTGCTCCTGGTGCAGAACTCTGAAAGCCAACCACAGGATATGAAAACCATCTTTAAAATATATGACGCCTAGGTTTAGTGGTCTTACACAACCTCCCATGACTATTTGCATACCTAGGGCAATTTTCCATACCGGGTATAATCAATGGTCTGTCAACCGTTCACCTAGTGAGAATTAAAGTTCCATATCTTTGCAAACAATCTTTGGTAGATTGGGCTGGCTTTGATGAGACCGCTGCAGGATAAATGGTTAGTGGGCCACAGCTATTGTGTTTAAACGAATGCTCTTAAAATCAATTCCATTCTTCTTTCAAGGCACCGCTTCTTGGTTTCTGTGCTCCCTTTAATACAAGTTGTTATTGCCCAATCTCCACAAGCTATGGAAGGTTGGTTATAAAATAAGCACAGGCAATGCTTTCCTTAATAAATTTGTTCTGAACACCCACTTGTGGATTATTTATTTAATTTGACGTATTGTGATGCTTTTGCCAAAGCCTTCCCCCACCATCTGAATATACGAGTATAGTAATAATTAAAGGTTTCGGTTTGTTTTTTATTTTTAAAAAAACCCACTTTGGTTTCTCAAAGCGTTGACATCTACATGACTTCAGTTTCACTCATGTGTCAAATGTAGTTCAAAGACAGTCTGCACATTTATTTTGTTTGCTTCATGTAGGAATTGTCATTATCACAGTCTACAAAACATTAACTTTTTTTATGGCAGAAAAAGAACACATCTGGAAGAAGCTAAGATCCCATGTACCTACACAAGCAAATCCACCACATAACCGTTTCTCCTTCCCCCTCCCTGCCAGAAATCCAACTGTCAGAATTTACATCCTTACCTGCTGGGTAGCGTTCTATAACTGGCCAGTTGTCCACCTGTAATGTGGCATTACCACCACTTCTTGTGAAACGTACTACGTGATATTTCCCATCATTAATGATTGCGTTGACCTCTTCAATTGCGATATCATCTGTTCCAACATTAAATTTAACTCCAATTTTTCCTTGGTGCTGTAAAGAAAAGCAAATGACAGAAACAACATGGTTAATCAGAAGCCCATTTAAAAAACCAAAACACTTTTAGGTGCAGTAAAAGGTAAAGGGACCCCTGACCATTAGGTCCAGTCGTGGCCGACTCTGGGGTTGCAGTGCTCATCTTGCTTTATTGGCCAAGGGAGCCGGCGCACAGCTTCCGGGTCATGTGGCCAGCATAACTAAGCCACTTCTGGCGAACCAGAGCAGCGCATGGAAATGCCGTTTACCTTCCCGCCAGAGCGGTACCTATTTATCTACTTGCACTTTGATGTGCTTTTGAAGTGCTATGTTGGCAGGAGCAGGGACCGAACAACGGGAGCTCTCCCCGTCGTGGGGATTCAAACCGCCGACCTTCCGATCGGCAAGCCCTAGGCTCTGTGGTTTAACCCACAGCGCCACCCACGTCCCGTTAGGTGCAGTATTATGCAGATAAAACATCCTGAAGATATCTTTTAACTTCCTCAGGACATGTGGCGGTAAGAATCCTCTGGACCAGGACTGAACAATTTGTGATTGGGAATGGAGAAAACTTGTTTCTATACAAACAAGGAATTCTATGTTTCCAGTCATAACCCTTTGCTACCTACCCCGGCTCATTGAACTTTATTGTCTTAGAAACTATGAACCATGGATAACCACCATACGGTTGTTTACATGAACAGAGACCCTGTGCACAAGTCAACATCTCTTGACCTGGCCTGAAGGTTATTCACTTCTTTTCATTCATTTCAACCACTGATTCACCCCCTTGACAACACAGGGCAAACAGAGGCAGAGGTGAGTTTCCTGGTTCTTATGCCTAGGATAAATGACTTTGTTAGGAGACTGTGCAGTTTTATAAAACAGGAATACACAGAAAAGCAAAACATAGTCTAAGGTGCTTCTTGGGGTATTGGGGCTCAGAAGATCAGAACTCTGAATAGTCACTCGCTCCAAAACTTGAAGCTAGTTGAAATTCATTGGGAAACTTAAATCGTTCTGCTAAGGATACTGAAAGCCAGATCTTAGTGGTTTGGAAGCAAAGTCACACAGGACCAGATCAAATAGCGCCTGTCCCTGCATCAACCCATAAACATGATAGGATGAAACATGTGTATTGCTCCTCTTCCCCTCCTGCCTGATTCTCTTGCGCAGCCTTCAGTGTCTTTGGGTGTTCAGTAGCATTCAAACGGCTTCCCTATGAAAAATCGGGTGCAAGTGGGATCATTGCACATGTGCAATATTCCAGAAAAAAATCCAGGGACTGACCATGAAATCAAGTCCTATTCAATAGTTACGCCCTAGCGAGAATATTGGAGATGGCCTGGGTGTGCCAGAAGGCATAGAAAGAAGGGATGACACTCTCTCACTCTGTGGCAGCCTTCCTCATCATGGTTCCTTCCGTATACTTTGGACTACAACCTCCATCATCCTTGACCCTTGACTCCGCTGGCTGGGGTTGATGGGACTTGTAGTGAGAAAGTTCCTTGATATAACACTTATGAGATAGGTCACTTGCAATATGACCAATGGATCTTTAGTGAGCAGAGGAACTAAGAGTCAGCCATGAAAGGACAAAATTCTTTCATCTCTAATTAAAGCAGCAACAACAACAACACAGAACTGTAGTGGTATCACTGGAAATAGCTGATTTATCTACGAACAACATTGCCCCTTCTCCGAGACAAGTATCCACTCCAAATGCTATTATCCATTTTAATTATTATTGAAAAAGCATCCGTAACGTGGCATTTATAGCTTAATGAAGTATCTTGCCATGTTCATTTAAAAATACTGACTAAAGCAATTATTGATTTCTGTTTCCACAGAAGACAGGCGAAATGCTTCATTTCTGAATAATGACTCTTATAAAACTAAAATGAGAAAGAAGCAACGTCGCAGAGTGTGTGTTAGGTAAAAAAGAAAGGAAGAAAAGGAAGCGGTTACTGCTGGAGCCTGACTAAATAAATGATACTGCTGCATCCTAATTCTAGAAATGTGTTGTGGCTGCCATTGAAATGTCCTCGGGTTCAGGAACAGATAGAAAAATTCTTCATTTTAGCAAAAAGTAATAATTCCTTATTCTACAACCTCTTGATCTTTTCTCTCTTTCACTGCAAAATCTTTTTTCATCTCTAATGTAAGATCACATAGCTCTAATACCCACATAGCTACATAGATCTGCTTCTGCACAGCCCACAATGTGGAACAGTCTCTCTGGAACAGTCTTCCCCCAGAAATAAGGTGAATACATTTTTCTGACACATGCTGAAAATGTTTCAGTTCACTATGACTTTTGCTGGCTATTGATGTATGCCACTGTACAGTTTTGTTTTGTTTTTTAACTTATTGAACACACCAAGGCTTACTTCTGAGTAGACAGGCATAGGATCGCTCTATTCAAGTTACTTCTTGTTCATATTCAATTCCAAAACCAAACTGCTTGAGAACGTGCATTTTTCCTGACATTTCTTAAAAGTTAACTGACAAATTGTGCAATTCACATGTTTTAATCACCCACTTACTCTGCTATTCATATTCAACAGAAAATGTACAAAATGCTAAATTGCTCTTGTGATGTAGCAATCACCCCTTTCACAAAATTATTAAACATACAAGAACTTTTCTAAAGGCACGTGACTCTAAAACACATGTACTTTACTCAAAGTTTTCCCTTCTGAAATCAAATGCTTTGACATAAAAAAACCCCGACCAAAACAAAAACCTAGCTGATTTTTTATCATGGTCGATAATCGCAGTATTCACACACACAGCAATGCTTTCCCTACTTGCCTTCATTTGAGTCCTATGTACAATTTTACATATAGTGGGAAAAGAAGCAAAACACCTTTTAAATAAAATTGAGCAGGTGCATGCAAATGATTTTAACCAGACACATGTCAGAGCAGCTCTTATGTGGAAAGAAGAAGAAGAGGAAGAGGAAGAGGAAGAGGAAGAGGAGGAGGAGGAGGAGGAGGAGGAAGAAGAAGAAGAAGAAGAAGAAGAAGAAGAAGGCCAACAGAACAGAAAAACTGAAAATCAATCCAAGGGTGCAGGAAAATAATTTTGGTTGAAAAATAAGCAATGTTTCTCTTTGTTTTACATGTAATTCCTCAGTTCTTTGGAGAACTTCATAATGACCCATATGGTGAGTGAATATGGACTGTAGAGGGGTTCCTTGACCTAGACAACTGTCTGCAAAGGTGGAGAGAAGATTCATATCTTCTTTCTAATAATAAGCACACAAGGAGATTTTACAAGTTGTAATCCTACAACAACTGGAGGAAACCACATTGGCTCTCCTTGCACGAAGGCACCCATTCTTTCTGTATCCTGCCTGCATGAGTAGACATGCTCAGCCTTCTGAGCTCAAAATTGGTGGCTAATCAGTAGGCTTTCTTGCTGTGTTTTGGAAGAACACACACACATTTCTCCGGTCAAGAACCGTCTTGAAGAGACAGGAAGCATGCAAGCTCAATAACAGAGCATCTGCTTTGCATGCAAAAAGTCGCAGGTTCAATCCCTGATATCCAGGAGTTGCCAGTGGGGTGCCCTTCTTCACCTGCCTTCCAAGTGGGGAGCATCTTTACTGGTTCCTGAGACTGGTGAGCTCGGCATGGTCCAGACAAAGCAACAGGAGCATCAGATTGTGGACTGCTGTGTTCACACCGTGCTGAACTTCCCACACCTCTCCTATTCATCAACCTGCAGCAAGTCTTGGGATTTGGGAAGACCAGTGAGCAATGCCACCTTACCTGAGCTGACCCACCATCCACTACTGCTGGCATCTTCAGCACCCTGGAGAGCTACCTCCAGTCAACGTAGACCACACTGAACTAGATTAACCAATGGTCTGGCTCAATATAAGGCTGCTTCCTTTACACCTCAGCTGGTCTAAAAGCACAGAACTTTACAAATGATGTCCCTATTTTCATCAGAGAAATGTTGGAGGGTATCAAAACGGCGAGTTCTGGGCCAGGAGAAAAAGTCACTGAAACTAGTACAAATTAGAAGAACAGAATACAACATAACATTCTGAAACTGTGCAAAAAGCAGTGGGCTCCAGAAATCTAGCACTTTGGGTTTGTCATTTTTCCATTTGACTTTTAGTCATTGGATTAGATCCCAAAAAGGTGCCCATCCACTCATGGAAGACCCTTTCATGAACAAGAGGATACCCTGGGCACCATCTCATTGGGTTGATGGCCTCCTGCCTCTTAATTGTCCCATTTTTGCACATTCATTTTATGCTGGGCGATTTGTGCTTCTGCTGGCTTTTGAGTACCTTTATGAAGCAAATGTTTTAGATGGCTTTAATTTCTACCAAATTGGTTACGCCTTGATGCGCATTTTGTAAGCCACTTTGTGGCTTTAAAAGTGGGATATAACCCCGTTAAATAATAAATGAATACATGCTAGGAAATTTCCTCCTCTCGATAAATTTTCATGGTGTATTAAAAAGGAAAGACTAATTAATTCTAATCCTAACGGTGGGTGGAGCAGGGTAAAACAGATTGATAAAACATGTACTAAAAATGCCGTTTCTGCTTCTTAACCCTGACAAGCCTCAAAAGAATAATAAAGTACAGTCATAAAATATGGTGCTTAAAGTGCCGTTAACTGTTACTTTTCTCCCCAAAGTTATCTGATTTCTCTGCCAAATTAAGTACACTGTAGAAGGCATTTTCCCATGAAGCATAAAAAACCCCCAAGTTAGATGGAGGTGTCACTATCAGCTGCTGTTTACAGAACAGGGCATACATATTCCAGAATTATTCGGAGGAGGGTTAGAGCTGAACCCCAGATTTGCAAAATCTCAAAAATCAGACAAATAATAATAATAATAATAATAATAATAATAATAATAATAATAATAATTTATTATTTATACATCCAAGGAAGGAGAGTCCACAACCTCCCGAGGGAGACTGTTCCACAGCTGAACAGCTCTCAGTCAATGTAACCCAACTTCTTTAAAAAACCCATAGGTTTTGACC